GTAGAAGAGGGGATGACGGTTGTTCGTTATCAGTGAGACTTGATCTGTTGAGACGATTGATGATTGATGTCAAATGGTCTTATCGTTGTCGTTGATATAGGAAGGGGGGGTGGCCTTGGTATAAGTGAGCTTGGCTCCTGGTGAGTGAGAGTCGGTGTTGGCAGTTTATATCAAGGAATTGACCAGAGCGACAGCGACCCAATCATGCAATTGTGCACATAAACTGCAAGCTCTATCGAGGATTCGGAATATGGACGGCAAGGGACGTCATTAGAGTGCAGGATCAATGTGTGTCTTTGGTTGGCAAAGGGTCGAGGTGCTGCTGCTGCGTATGTCCAGCCTTGAGGTCTTCGAGTCTGGCAAACGTGAGATGATTCTCGCACCCGTGGTGTGATATATGTGCAAAGGCCAACCCCCTCCGTTATGTCATCTCACTTCGGGATGCGCCAGTCACTCTTGCATCCAAGCGGATCTCTTAGGCGGCAAGCCACTCTTGAGCCTTTACTGTGTTCGGCATGCAGGCCTTTGGGCCAAAGAGAGGTACAGCAAGGCATGCAAGCACGCACGAGTAGGGGAGGCATAATAGAGAGGCACCGAGAGAAAGAGAGAGAGAGAGAGAGAGACCAGAATGGACGCCATAGCCTGGAGATGGCTAACGGGACGAGGGGCGTGTGAACCGGGTAGAGACCAAGGCCCGCGGGTGGCTGTGTGCTGAGCGAATGGGAGCGGGTTGCCAGCTCGACAGACAGCCCAATACCGGCTTGCTGGCAAATACGGGGGAGTGTGCGGCGCCGTCAAAGCACAAGCAAGGAGAGAGCGAGCAGAATTTTCACTCCAAACAGAGGCCCCGAATCAAACCCCCCCGGCCGGTGGGCGAGCAAGCAACGGCCCAAGGAAGGGCCTAGAGAGACGACGCCGCCAGCGCAATGGGCCGCAGCCGCAGATAGAGGTCGAGGGTCGACAGCCGCGTGTTCAACCGTCTCAGTGGCAGACCCTGGCTCGCGCAGGTCGATGGATACCCTCCTCTACGCCGTCGGCCTCTCAGCTTCCGTCCAGCTTCGAAATTCGCGCCTGTGTCCAATCGCAGCTGCGGCTGCACGATGCAGGAGCTTAGAGCCCTTGGGTCTTGGGTCTCAAAGACCTGCAACTGCTAGAAGGCATGTACTTGTCGTACCGCATGTACAGGTATTTGACTTCCTCGGGGGACGTTCTGGTCCGGGCATGGCAGCTCTGCATTGCAAGCTGCACCAGCCGAACTTTGCGAGTGCATATTCCCCCTCTTACATGCCACCGAGAGAGAGAGCAGCCCAGAGCCGCTGTATCGGCACCTCGCAACAACAGTCGAGAGGCTTCTGCTCCATTGATAGATAGATCCCTGCGGTTGGGGTAAGGTAATCAGAGACTTTCTTTCTCTGTCCGTGCAGATTCTATCCCTGTTGCTGCCATGGGCCATCACCCAGAGATGCGTCCACAGCGTTCTGACACATATGAGATCGATGACACCATAGTGCTCCGCCGATGTTGGTTGTAGCAGGTAGCACCTTGTAAGTATCATGTATGCGAGGCGTCAGCAGCAGTATGCTATGCCCAGAGCGGCTTCTCTCTATGCTCCTCATCAGTTCTGCGTGCAATTTTTTCTCCGTCTTTCCCCATGCCAGCTCTCCTGGCCCGATGTCCCTGTACCGTAGCATTGCTGCTCGTCGTTGTCGTTTCCGACTGTGCCCGGCTCGCCAGTAACAATACCTGGTAGGTGAACCCCCATGGCCGGGCCAATACCCCGGTTCGCTTCCCGCTCTGCTACGTGGCCGGCAACAGACCACGATGGAGATGGAGAGGACTTCATACCAAGCCTCTGGGATTTCGTAAATGTCGTACTTCTCTCACTTGTCGCATGCGCTAGTTTCTGCGTAGTTGATGGAGCAGTGAGGAAACAAAGGAGAGGAGAGACGATTTTTGTTCGTTTTCGGCCATGTACTTGCGCAGTTCTTGGTCGCTCACCGTCGGCAAACCCCATATGGATGCTGGATGATGATGATGATGACCTTGTTGCAAAGTCCGGGAAAAGGACTCCATCTCCAAGAGGCTCAGTGCAGTCGTCGGCCTTCACATGGCAGCCGGAGCGGTCCCTGGTGTAAGCCAACAAGTCCCCGGCCCTGTCTCAGACGCCTGGCCGTAGGAATCAGTACAAGTATGGCGTGGCTTGCGCCGCAACAAACAGCACACGAGACAGCGCCAAATAAGTCACACGTCCACTGCCAGCCTCTGGGCTGAGAAACGGGTGCGCCGCCTCACTGGAAATAGCACCAACCTGACAGCAGCAGATCTTCGTGCTGTGTCTAGGCAGACCTACACCGTAGTGGGAAAGGAGCGCCCGTCTCGCTGTGTCGGTCTCTTGTCAATCTCTCCCGCTTTTCCGCTCTCTCTCTCTTTCTCTCTCTCTCCCTCTCTCCCTCACTCCCTCATCATGACAGAGCCTGTTGTTCCCTTCTCTTCCCCTGGACCACACGGGCCTTGGCGCTGGATCTTGGGTGGCACCAGCGTGAACAAGTCACCGCCGGAGCGCCGCTCTAAACCCAGGCTGGCCGCTGCCGAATGCGCTGGCAGGCTGATTGGACGACAGCCCAAAGGATAAGAGGCTGGCCGTTGACACATCAGCAGAGTGTGGCTGCAGCTAGATGAAAGGAGCGAACAGCAAATCCGCATCGGCACGATCGATGGGGGCGCCCCATGGATGCCCAACTCCAGGCAACATGAAAGACAAAGACCACTCGCTCGCTTGAGCGTGTCTCTCGGAAAATAGCACCTGGGGCGGGGGATTCGATTCGACATGTGCGGCCTTCATCCCGTGCCCGTCTTGGTTTGTTGTCTCCTCCTCATTCATCGCTCAAGTGAACTGATGACACGCACCCAGGCCCGACGATGCAGAATTTTGCACTGTGGTCTAGATGCAATGCATTGCGGCTGCATAATCATAAATTCTTCGACCTGACGAGGCAGCGCCTCATTGGCCTGACTGCTCGGGAAGAAGACGAGGGAAAAGGAACACGAGCATGGGCGTCCATCAGGGTAGCATTCTGTATCGCAAGATAATCACCAATGGTAGAGGGCAATTGGGCTATCCTGATGCCGTGCAGTCGTCAGGAGTCGAATGTCCCTCAGCCTTGCCTATCACAAGCTCGCAACGATGCTGCGATGCGCCGCTTTTCGCATTTACCCTCTGCCGGCCTCATTCGCCCGTCATTCTGTGCACACATAATCATTCGATGGAGCTGCAGAGGGCAGAGGCGAGATGCAGGTATTCCCAATGCTGATTGTCCCGCGTCAATTATCGTACAGTGAGCGAAATGCAACGGCTCGAGAGGACAGGAATACGACGAGCTCCAGCTCCAGGCCGTCGCCACCAGCAGCACATTATCCAGGCGAATATTACCCAGTTGGCTCGATAAGAATAGCGAGCGTTGCATCAATAGCCTGTGGTGCCAGCAATGGCGTGTGTCGACCAGCCATTCGTCCACTCCACGCCACCTGCGAGTCGTGCCGGCAGCACGATGCGATGCGACGAGCTGGCCTTGACCATCCGAGCGGCAGCGGTCCCACGGGCTGAAGGCTAGGAGTGTCAATCACGGGCTGGGCGAGGACTGCAGTGGCCACCGCGTGATGCCGTCGTCAGGGCATATCGAGATCTGAGATTTGGGACTCAATTCCGGGCGGCTGATCCGGCAATGGCCTGCTTGGCCTCATCGTCTTCTCCATCTTCCCATCCTCCCTTCTTCCATCTGACCTTCACACCGCGATTTGCCACCATGGTGCTGAGCAGACGTCGTCTCTCATCAGCCGAGCTCTGAAACCTGATAGAGCGCATGTGGGGGAGAGAGGCTTCAAAGGCCAACCACAAACGCACCCCGCATAATTACATGTTGCACTGCAGGGAGGGGAAAGACAGATGACCTCGGGGGAATGCCGTTTGTCGAGGCGTCTGGAGACGGGGGACAGCGTGCGACTCGGACGACGGCGACATGTGCACTGGTGCAGCAGCGCGTGCAAGTGAATGTACCTACCTACATAACCTGGAAGGCAATGCCTCCTAATGAATGGCCTGCTGTCCGGAGAACAGCAAGTGATACAGCATGCGCACCACATCATTGCGCGTCTGGCGAGAGACGCAGTGAGAGAGCGGTTGAGTGCGACTGTACGAGGCACGGCAGCAGGCGAGAAGTGAGAGAATGAGGCAGATTGGGAGAGAGAGAAGAGGAAACAGAGAGAAGGATTCGAATTGTCTGCAGATGCACGAGACAGAATCAGGAGATGAAGCAATCACTACAAGGTAAGGTAGATAAGTTAGGTAAGGTAGGCAGGTAATACTAGGTAGGTATGCAGTGCAGTGCAGTGCATCGTGCTTGCAGTTTCCGGGTATCAACGACAACTGGAAGCTGCCGCCGTGCCCAATCGTTATCGATAGCGCCGTCAGCCTCGGTTACTCGAGGGTCAATTGAGGCCATCGTCGCGTTCCTTGGTTCCCTCGTCTCCCAAGCCCGAATCCTTCGTACCTGAAGCCGCGATGCTGCCTGTACATGCAGATACACAGCAGCGAGTACTCCGTACACTATCACGAGTCGAGAGAGGTAGGGAGAGCGCACAAGTACTTGACGGGCAAGGAGTGCGAGGTATGCCATGGTAGCATCCACCAGGCCTGTGCTGCTCCCTTGATAATCCCCTAGAGTCCCCATCGCTGACGTCTCCTCCTTTCCATCTCGCCTTCTAGAAGATGGACCCCCCATCCAACGTTGCCTCGATTACGGACTACGGAGGACGGAGCTCGGACCGCTGCTCACATTACGGCTCCGGCAGCCCGGACACGGAACGCTGCTCAACAACCTTGAACATGGTCCAGACACAGACAGACAGACAGACGCTGCCTGCTGACTCGGAGCATGTGAGAGAAGAAGGACGGAGCGCTCCGAGCTAGTAATACTTGTTTCCCCCCCTCGGACCAGCCATCCATGCATGTGGGCGACATGATATGCCGCTATTCGGATAGCCGCATGCCCTGCTGCCTCCTCGCTGCTGCTCTGCCTGTGTGTCTCTGAATTCCCCCGTCCATGCGGTGCTCGTGCTTGTGCCACCACCTCATCCAGCGTCACCGCGTGCTCACTCTGCCAGCTGCATCAGGCTCTATCAACTCCTCTCTCTTCTCTATCTGCGTCTGCCAGAGCAAGCGACCATGCCGGTCAAACACGCGCCGCGTCGCCATTGGCCCGAATCCCGGACAGCCTGCAGCGCTATTCTCAGGAACCGACGCCATGGCGAGATCCGATTCGCCTCTTCTGCCCCGGAACAACATTGCCCCTGTCCCGCCACCACCAGATCCCTACACCGTCTAATCGCCTCTCACGTCCTCCTGCTTCACGACTCCCCCGCTATCGGCCGCGATACTCCACGATGCTCCACGATGCTCCACGATTCGGACGCCCGAGGCCCAAGCCATTCTTTGCCATTCTCGCAGGCCAGACGGGAGTACTAGCAGACGGCTCCCTTGCTTGGACCCCCTCCTCGTGATATCGCTCTTCTCCCGTTCTGCCGCAGGGTCGAGCCATTCCTTGGTCTGACGCATCTCTGCCGCCCAACCAACTTTCTTCCAATAATAACCACGGCTGGAGTCCAGACACGCTGTGCGACTAGTGTCCCCCGTGCAACTGTTACTGGCTTTTAAGCGAACAGATTCCGCTCCGCTCCGTTCTAACCCCCCTTTTTCTCTTTCGAAGGAAATGACGGCCGAAGCCATCTCCGGGGCCGGCTCTGGGCCCGCATCCGGCTCGTCCCAGCCTCTCCGGCTGCTCATCCTCGAGGCCGACACGCCGCAGCCGGACACAGAGGCCAAGTATGGCGGCTACGGAGGCGTCTTCACTGCGCTGTTGACGGCGGCGGCGGAGGCCATGGATCCGCCGCGGAAGCTGTCAGAGGTGGCCACGGTCACGGCGCACAACATTGTCGAGGACATGCATGCGTACCCGCCGCTGGACGAGGTCGACGCCATTCTCATCACCGGGTCGCGTCACACGGCTTATGAGGATGACCCCTGGATTCTCAAGCTGGTGGAGTACACAAGGCAGGCCATTGACTCCGGCCGCATCAGAGTCGTGGGCGTGTGCTTTGGCCACCAAATCGTTGGCAGGGCTATGGGTGCGCGCCTCGGCAGGAGTGATAAGGGCTGGGAGGTTGCTGTCACCGAGGTCGACTTGACCGACAAGGGCAAGGACATTTTCAAGCTCGACAAGATGGTGAGTCTCTCTCGCAGATGTCACTTTTCACTTGTCACTTCTCGCCTTTTTCCTACTAGAATCACTTGCGCTGACGTAAATAATTCTCTGCAGCGCATCCATCAAATGCATCGTGATGTTGTTCTAGAATACCCCAAGGGTTCCATCCCTCTGGGTGGCAATGACATATGCCCAGTCCAAGCCATGTACAGCCCTGGCCGGTACATCACCGTCCAGGGACATCCCGAGTTCACAGAGGAAATCGTCTCCGAGATCCTCACCAACCGACACAAAGCCGGCATCTTTACCGATGACATGTACGACGAGGCCATGAAGCGCGCGCCTAACGAGCATGACGGGGTCAAAATTGCAAAGGCGTTTCTCGACTTCATGAGGCACGGTTAAACGCCTCGACGAAGCCAGGGTAGCTGGAGATGAGATGAGATCCGAGGCACGCTTGTGAGAGAGCTAGTGCAACAGCTTAATGTACATACTCATGGGTGAGGTTACAGTCAGGGCTGGCAAGGTTATGTACAGGTACTTGTTATGCCTGTTCTCGCTTCTAGCAATCATAGACTGATCACATATGACAAAGTGCGGTGAGATCTGGCCTTCAGTGGGTGTTGAGTGCAGTCTCGTTCATACGCCCACGTCCGCACCCGGAATCTTCCATTCTATGGTTGCATTAGAGCAGAGCCGCATCGAGCTGACACATTGAGCTAGCGTAGATGAGGTATGGATATGCTCGGTTGGGAGCTGAGGACCCCTAAATTACAGTGAAGACGATGATGGCATCACAGCCATCGCTAAGAAGTCTTGAAACGTTGATCTTTTCTGAGGACGTTGATCACGGGAGCAGATTCTGTTCATGTCCTTGAACTCATGATTCGAGCTCTGTCTAGGTTTATGACGAGGCCCAGATGCCGATCAAATCCCATCTCACCGCCGCGGCCATTCCGAGACGATCAAATTTGAAATGTAGCCACATCCCATCTTTGGCTGATACCGAAATGAAGCATGAATATTGAAACATATGACATCTACTTTTATCTGATGCTTTGTTTTTCGATGGAAAATAAGCCAAACTGTACTACCACGAGGGCCAAAAATGAGTCAAGCTGCTTACCCCTAGATCTGGGGATGATTCGATGATGGCCTTGTACCGTGTGAGCTTCCTGCTGTCGAGCTGTTTTACCCAACAACGGTCTAATTATATCGGCAACTTCAGAATGGCTAGGCTTCTCGTGCATGATAGACATTGCTATTGAGCCCAAACAATTCAGATAATGAAATGACCGGTCATGGCCAGGTTGAGTGTAGGGTAGGCGCAAAATGTTGGCGGCTTTGCTTGAGATTCTTCTAACTGATGTTCAAACTACCTTACACTATCTGGCATATCATGTTTTGCATGATACGCGTTATCTATTGATACTGATCTTATGGTCCTTCTCTTTATGCGCGGAGAGTTGATTGATTTGTCCCGATAATGGCATGTCCCTATGTTTGCCCTTAGTCCTCATCGTCTGGGATACTCGATCTCCAGCCGCTCCCGATATGCGACGTAAAGTCTGCCTACGTGACACCCTAGGATCCACGGTGCTTAAGAGATGATAGAATTACATGTATTTTGGGTACTTCAACCATTTTCTTGCCTTGTAGCAACTCCTGAGACGTTGCGAACCAGTTGGTATCAGGTCACGCATCGTAGTGTAGGAAGGCCGATCACACTCTTCCCAGATCCGGCATCTGTGCACTACGTTGCCTCAATGTCCGGACAACTTGCAGAGTTGTTGCGAGGGGGATCGATCTCTTACAGCCGCCTTGGCAATGGATTTTACCCTGGCACGAGTACGGCCCTTGGTCAAGCACGCTCACTATCATGACCAAGAGGCTACCTACTTCAGATGGGAGATGAAACAAGACAAGAAGTCGTTGCATAGTGCCTATCTAAGGACTTGCAGGTGGAAATGAAGCTTGTGCAGTTTTTTTAAGCAAAAGAAAGGAAAGAAGACTGGTATTCGGCTGAGAAGTCATCAGACTCACGCAATTCCTATGTAGCAAAGTAGGTAGTGGTCATACTTCTTCCATATGCTCTGCATGATAAAGTATCTCAACAGCGACTTCGACTTATAGAGACTCTGCCTCAGATGTCAGTGAGACGACTACGGTACTATATGAAGCTAGCTTCAAGATGCAAGTGTCTGGAGGAGATATTCCTGGCCAAGTGCCTCACCAGCTCCGGCAGTCCTGTTTTACACGATAATCGAATGCAAGCATTTCTAGTCCTTTACTGCCAAGACATCATACGTTACGCTTGCTGATGTCTACCGTCAGCAAGAGCTTCGCCAGCGAGCATATATACAATCTCCGATGTTACGCACCCACGCGCGTGCACAGGCACAACAATGGCCTGATGTCGTGTACTTGTTGCTCGATATCATGGGGTTCCGATGACATCCCTGCGCTTACCAGGCATCACCCCTGTCTCAGATCAAACTGTTGCCTGGAACCGAAACAAGCCCTACGACGAACCCAAAGGCCAAGAAACTCTTCTGTTGCTCTCATTTGTCAGCTGTTTGAGTTCTCTTCGAGTTCTTCTGGAAGATCTGTTCTCCATCGGACACGTCTGAGATCTTCTCCTTGGCTGTATCATCTCCAACGAGCCATGTCAAAGCGTTTTTTCTTCCGTCTCCGCCAAACAGCCTCAGAAATAAGCTGATGTAGATCAACATGTTCGATGTAAAACTTGAGAGGGTTTAACTTCTTATTTAGGCAATCTTATAAGTCCAGGGTCCTGGGAGTAATCCGCTACTACTCTCAAACTACATCGAGCGCTAAACACCAAAGCAGAAGCTCCAAGATCTCGGCGATGATTTGACCGAGCTATATCTTCTGAAACCGCAAGGAGGATGCCGGCAAGGCCGTTTGGCAGGATTCAAAGGAGAGAGGCTGTTCGACTTCATGAGGCAGGTTAGGAGACGATGCGAACAAAAATTGGTATATAAGGGAGTGACCATGTCTGCTTTCATTCGGTCTCGTTTACAACTTATCTCATAGCAAGACTACAATCAGAAGATCAATAAAACAACTCCATCAACTCTCAGGATGCAGTTCTCTCTCGCCGTCGCCGCCTCCGTGCTGGCCTTGACCACCTCCGCGGCTCCCACCGTCCAGACCCGCGACATCGCCTCTGGCACCGACCAGAACGGCTCCATCTTCATGTTCGGCGACCCAGCCGGCCCCCGCCAGCTGCTCTTCCAATTCGGCGCCTGCGGCCTCAGCACCTACTTTGCCAACCAGGTCGACCCCAGCATGCCCTTGGTCGCCATGCCCGCCGGCGTCTTTGACCAGTTTGGCGCCGCTCAGAACAACGCCCTCTGCGCAAAGGTCATCACCATGACCAACAACGGCGTCACTCGCCAGGCTGTTGTTGCGGACCGCAATCTCAGCGTTGACAACTCCATCGATATGACGCTTGATCTGTGGGAGGCTTTTGGTGGACACGACAACGACGGAACGCTGATCCGTGGCTTCAGCTGGTCTATCAACTAAGAGAGTTGATGTGGTAGCTTGTGGTCTAAAAGCCTGCGTGGCTTGTATACATTTTCATTCAAGTTCTGATGTACATAGTCATCATATAGAATCTCCGCCGGACGGGAACAAATGCCTTGCCTGAGCCTGAGCAGGGACAGGTTCGGATGAAGAGGGGGGGTTAATAATGGCTTGTGTATTATAAGGATTCATAGTATACACTGTTTACAACCAGCTCGTCTCTGGTAGAGAGTGACCTATTGAGAAGTGTATACCTCGGCTGAGATTGAGTGGAGAGACTGGCAACTTGAGCCCGAACGTCGTCGAATGCAGTGAAAGTAATCAGCCTCTTCAGACTACACTGTCTTGTCAAGTCATGAATAAGTTATACATATATTGTATTAGTACTCCATTGATGAGTGCTGATAGCACGTAGAAGGCAATAAAAGGCTCGCGCTGCATGAAATGCTATATGAGCTAGGCTCTTCTGGAATAGACTTGCAATGTATTGCAGGAGTGAACTATTTGCTATAAGAGATCGTGTCCAACGTGATAGCTACCATACAAGTGATGGTAAATTCTCTATCTGCACACCAAATACGCAAGATATCAATGTAGTCTCTAACATACCACGATATATGTAGGTGTATATGTCCTCTTGAAGAGAAAACCTCAGTTATAGATTTATTAAATGCATGTAAACTTTGCAGTGACATGCATAGCAATGTGCACCTTAGAATCCAGTTGCGCTCGTTTCCATGCCCGTGTGAAAGGCGTTGACTTCTGGGACAGGCTGCCAGCTGTTCACGACAGACATCTCAATGAAAGGCTCTCCCGTGAAGAGGGCGGTCAAATACATACAAATACATACGTCTGGAGAGAAGAGAGGTGAGTGCAGCACAGGTTCACCGCCCGATACTGCCAGTCTTTCCTCTTCTTCCACCTTGCTTCCACCTCATCTCTCTTCCCTTTTCTCTTCCTCATCTCTCCTCCTTCCTTCAACTTATATTTCATCTTCTCTTCTCCTCTCTTTTCACCTCTGTTCTTCTCACACCTTCCTTCACGTCACACCGTCTGCACTCAACCACTCTCTGGATCTCACATGGCCTGCGCGAGGTTGGCGCTCTTGTGATATTTAATTGTTGATGCAGCATTTCTTTTCCCTTTTCGTTTACTCTAACGTTTTGTCACTTCTTCTGCTCTATCCAGGATAGTAGAGAAGCACACATACCTATTTACAAGGTGAGTTCTTCTCCACACATGACTCTGGGCTGCCTCCTAGGACTTGTGTGTCATGCTAGGACGCTCCGGCGCTTGAACAAATACAGGCTCTTACTGATCCTTTTACTTTCTAGCTCTTGACCCTTCACACGCCTGCGTCAACTTTGCCAGCTTCCCTAACGTCGACAGCCTGGAGATCCCGCTTGAAAAGACACTTCAATCGAACTGCGACTCGGGAGACTTTGCTCAGCCAAACGCATATGACAAAGATCAAAAAGCAGAAGAAACACGAGGCGATGAATGCTACAAGCCCTCACGAAAACCTCTTCTCACGATTCATGAATCAGGTCACGGGCAGCAGTTCACGGGAAATGGAAACCGCCAGAAATACTGCGAGTACACATGAGCACAAAGAAACAGCGGCGCCTGAGGATAATGGGGACTTAAAGATCACCGCTGAAGCAAAGGTCCGCCATGGAACCTCGACCATTATCAGCCCAGATGGACTCACTGTGGTCAAGTATTCGTCACTTGAGAAAGTAGAGGACACCGCACCAGAGCAGGAACAAGACGATCAAGGTGGTCGCGCCCCAAACACAGGCAATGCTGATCCAGATGAGGGCATCTATACCAAAACGCAGCTAGTCGACGGCGATATGGCGCCCGTCTGCTCGCCAGTTCAGGCTCCAAACAAATCAGATAACACGGTGCAGAGCAATGAGAATACAAGAACTCTGGGAGCGTCATTGGACCAGGAAGGACAAAATGCCACCAATGATGACAAGAACACCGATGACATGGCTTCCAGGAAAGCAATTGGAGTGGCGAAATACGATGAAATGCAAGAGGTGAAACCTCCAGTCTCTTCGCTTGATGTTGAGTCTGCGGAGAAAATCGACAAACAGGGCCGAAAGGAGCATTCTTCGGAGAAGAAGCGCAAAGAGAAGCGACCACACAAACGCTCCAAGTCTGGAGACCACTATGCAGAGTCATCCAAGCGAGCCAAGACAATGGAAGCGTCCGTCCTGAATGGCGAAGTCGAGAATACCAAGGTCAGTGGTCCTGGTAACCATGCAGAAGCCAAAGGCGTCGAGCAAGCGAGGGCGAGAATTCCTACAAACTGCAGCATTCGCCACGAGTATGACCAAGAACAGGAGCTAAAAGACGGGAAAAAGCTGGCCAAGTCAAGAAGATATACGAAGTTTATGCGCACAACACTCGAGGACCATCAGCTCACCGCCTTGTCGTGGATGGTGAAAAGAGAGAAAGAATTTCCGAGGCCAGCAGCCGGCGGTATTATCGGCGATGAGATGGGACTCGGAAAGACTGTTACGAGCTTGGCATGCATTGTCACCAATAGACTCAACAAGTCAGAGCGAACGAATCGCGCAGAGGCAACGCTCGTGTTAGTTCCCAACAGAAAGAATGCCCTACAGTGGAGGGATGAGGCGAGAGTGAGTGTCGGAGTCTGCGTCTATCCCTTGACTTTACTATGCTTCCCCCAATCTTGCTTCTCAAAGAGATAGTGAAAACCTGGCTGACACTACGTTATAGAAACATTTGACCGAGGAAGCGAGCCAGAATGTAATCGTCTACTCCCCTGCCAGTGACCTTGGACCAAAGCATTATGCGAAGCAGCGGATCGTGTGAGTGAAGTACTTCAAGCAGTCTGAGGCTGGAAACTTCTGACAATTTCAACAGCATTGCAACATATACCCAAGTGCGGAACCAATACCCCAGCCAAGCGTTCATGGATGCCCTGGATCGCCAATACGCGGATGAGCCTCGAGCGCATCGGCGCGAGTTCCGCAAAGAAGCCAAGGAGCTCTTTCTTGTGGATTGGTTCAGGGTGATTCTGGACGAGTCTCACGAAATGACCAAATGGAATGGACGCAGTAAGTGTACACTTGATCCTAGTAATATTGCAAACCATGTGTCTCTTAACTGATCCAAGCAGCTTTCAGAGCATGTTGCGCGATCGAGGCGCAACATCGTTGGGCCTTGAGTGGCACTCCTATCCTGAACAAGCCAATGGGTGAGGCCAAGAATTCCAAGGGGGACTGGAGGACATGGGCTAATGAAAGTTTTGGCAGAGTTTTATTCGTATGCGACTTTCATCTGTTGCAACTTCATCGGCAACCGGCGCGTCTTCAAAAACGACTACATAACTGAGGTAAGTGGATATTCGGAGTTGAGCTCCCAAGCAGGAATTAAGGAGCTTACCTTGCTGCTGTAGGACGCGACAAACAATTACTTCGATACTATAGCCAGTTATCTCATGTATCGGCGGTAAGTCTCTCTCATAGACCGGTAAAGCGGACTCTGCTGACGAGAAGCAGGACCGCAGGCAAGAATCTCAACATTCCACCGACGACTCATCAAGAGTTATATGTCGAGGTTTCGGCGGAAGAGGAGGTCCTATGCAAGTACGTATACGCATCTTGATGTCTGAGCTGCACGCCTTGTCTGCAAGAGGAGACTAACAATAGCAGCGCTATCAATGCCTTCTACGAAAGGCGCCAGAAGGAGCATGAAGAAGGCAAAGAGAACAAGGGAATGCCTCTCTTCGAAGACGAATACGGCGTGGATGAAGTTGAGGACCTCATGCCTGAGCAAGGCAAAACAGGCGAGAGAAGCAAAGAGTCTCCGGTGAGGTCAATCCAATCATCGAGACAACTGCGTCTCAGGCAAGCTTTATCTCATCCATATTGCTTGGAGAACTTCTTGATGAGTCAAGACTACCTCGATCAGAGCGAATTTGGATCCCTATTTGAGAATCTCAGGTCAGTCGCTGAGGAAAAGACGGTCATCGAGCAACTCGAAGCAGATCCAGATTGGCAGCAGCATCTTGGCAAGTACCAAAGCGGCCTCGACATCCTCAAGAAACGCGAAGAGGTGTCTCTAGGGGGTATTTTCGATATGAACAGCATCATGAGTCTCTTGTTGGTTCAGCGTGTTGTAAAAATGTCCGAATGTGGAGGATCTGAAGGTCACTCTCAAGACCTATGCCGATACAAAGTAAGTTATCCGAGCGAACTCGTTGCGTGACTGTAATGGCTAACTCAGCCTCAAACAGTGTGGTCATATATACTGCAGTACATGCTTGACCCGACTGATGGTGCAGAGGAGCAATTTGCCAACAGAGCAGCAGAACGGGGTGAGTCTTTACCTGCACTGCATGAAGCTCATGTACTAATGAAGCAATGTATGATCATCCAAGGTTATGAAATGCTCTGTTGATGACTGCGGCCAGGACCTCCTGTTGGGTCAGCGAGTAATGACTCTGGAGATGGTGGCCGCCAAGGCACGGGCGGACAAGAACTACGTGGAGATTGGAAAAGATGCGATTGGAACCACTGTCCAGCCTAAGAATGACTCGTCGGTGTTCTTCGTTGCGAGTTCATTCTATCGCGAGGACGCCATTCCCCCGCCGAGCTCGAGGCTGACGGCGACGCTGGCCGTGGCCATGACTTGGCTGACCGAGGCGCCTCAGGACAAGATCATCAGTAAGAAGACTCCAACAAATGAGTACACTGATTGCTGACGATATTCCATCTCAGTCTTTACACAGTTCATTCCGACACTGAAGATGCTAGGCTACCTCTTTCAGATCCTGGGGGTCAAATTCGTCTACTATTCGGGAGCGTTGCCCAAGCAGAAGCAGGATCACGCAATGAATGCTTTTCAGAATGATCCAAAGACGATGGTCATGGTACGTATCCGCGTCATCCTCAGATCCTGCCTTCAATGAACAGCTCTCCTGATCCTTCTCAATAGATCTCAACCATGAAGAGTGGTGGCCAGTCACACAACCTGACCGTGGCCAACCGCGTCATCATCGTGGACCTCTGGTGGAACAAAATGGCCGAGAAGCAAGCCATAAGCCGCGTCGCTCGAATGGGCCAGACGAAGGAGACGTTTTCGGTACGCATCGTGACGAAGCACAGCATGGACGACCATGTCATTGAGGTGCAGAAGGCGAAGGAAGAAACTGTCGCGCGAATGCTTCAGGACGATGGTCATGAGCGGACGGAAGTCAACGACGAGGCCCTTGAGAAGATGTTTGAGCCCAAGTCGGTCGAGAAGGAGAAATCGAAGAAGCGGAGAGGGGTCAAGGCGTCAGTGACAGATATGATTTTCAAGGAGGAGTCGCCCGAGTAAGTGCGTGGGTGCGGGTATGGCGGCTTTGGGAGCGGAAGGAAAATGTTGGAGTTGATTACAGCGCCAAGCAATCATTTTGCTTTTTATTCGGGTTGATATCTGGAGCATATGGAGGCCTTGGTCAACATCGGGAGTGGACGCGATTTCGGAAAAAGATTTGGTGGACAAGATGGGTTGACGCGGTTCATCACGGATTTCGAATGGAGTTGGCATGATGAGGCATCCATCGAAGGGCGCTTGGCTTTTCATTTCTCTTTCTAGGAATTTGCTTCAACATGCGTCGGACACGAGGCGGCATCTCCTGAAAAATACCTAAAGTAAGCTATTACGTACGTAGGTAGGTAGTCATTGAAATTGAAGAGTTCGTTTACAGACGACACTATCTGGTGTCGACTTGTATGACCCATCACCAACTGCACCTGAAAGTCAGACATGGCCTCACAAATCTCGGATAGTATCAATAACTTAATTGACTCTTCTCTATCTGAAAACCCGAGTGCAACAAAACCAAGGAGGCAGATAGAATGAAAGTCACTTTGCAAAGTTGATGCATATCCGCAGCGACTCGCATCAGTCACCCAGTTATGAGGATGTATGTGCTGTCCATTCAAATGATGAAGCACGGCACAAGTTCCGTAACGATTCACTTTGTGAAGTTTTGAAAGTCAGAATTATGTGAGAGACATGCGGCGTGAATATGAATTTCGCCTGGAATATAATTACTGGCTTGATCGGAATGCCTACCAGCTGCCCAAGGGCTTTGCCTATTAGACTCACCTTTACCTCACTCTATTCATGACTTTCTTCTCACTTTCTCTGGATTTCTCTAATCTTTTCAGAGCTCCCCCTCTGCTCATACGTACTAGCTCGACAGACTTTATCCGTTTGCTTTCGTGCCTTGACATCTTCAAACGAGTCGGATTGACATCGCCATCGACAGAATGACTGAGTTCCTGCCCCCTCCCCAGTTCGAAATCTCCGATCTGAGCATACCTGAATCAGACCCTCGATACGCCGCCGCTGTCAAATGCGTCCAAACATACTGGAAACAAGCGACAAGTATGACAGAGTCGCAAATTCTCAGATATCTGGGATATTTGAGCCGCTGGAATTTGCCAGAGTATATACCGCTTCTCTCACAAACGGCCGAGCCAAACTCTCTCATGGCGAGGGCGTCTACCCATAAGCTGTATCCAAAGCGCACTGCCAAGGGCGCCATTGTCAAGAACTCGGGTTCTTGGACCGGATACGTGCTGATTTCGTCGCTCTATGAGAATCTACCATCGGAGTACCTGGAAAGCATACGTACACGCTTTGGCAGCGCCACCATAAAGGACCATACCGATGAGTATCGACGCCTCTACCCAGCACCGATCGCCCAGAAAGAAATCACCCCAATCATTATCGATATCACTACACCGGTGATCGATATTACCATGTCTGCAGAGACTACGACTACAACACCATCGGCTACGCAGTCCGCTGTTCCCGGCGCATGGAGCATTGACAACGTCATCGATACCATGTCTCCCTCGAACAAAAAGAGGCTTGGCTGCGAACCCGAAAGATCTGCTGCCAAGAGAGCCAAAGCAGACAGCAATGAAATGCTTCAAAAGGTCAATCAGCAAGCCGAGGTCATCCAAAGAGCCATCGACATGCTGCAGGCGAATCACGACAAAAAGCTTCAGGAAATGCGCGAGGCCATCGAAGAGAACAAACAGGCTCTCAACGCCATGCAAGGCGAGTTGCGCCAGTTCATGTCTGCCGTTGCAACTACGCTTCGAGATATTCAGGAGCGCTTGGACGAGTGATGGCAGGTCGGCGGGCTCTTTTGAAGGGGTTTATCAGAATTTGAAGTGATTTGAGCATTCAAAGGCTATAAGTGTGTTGTCGCTCATGTTGTTCAAGGTTGTTGATATTATCTCGTCTAGAGGATAGGGGAGAGGAACATGTAACTAGCACTTTGCCAACGGAACGTCACAAATGGTGCAGGGAAACATATTTGGAATCGAACCTGTTTCTACTATCTATCACGCCAGTGCAAGTGGGATGATTTCCTGACCACGGTCCGAGTTTCGCGAGATGTTGTTGGTGCGCGACATCTTCACGATGACCCCTGACACGCTTCACATAGGGTTTTGCAGGGGTCACCTCTGATGTTGTAGAAAACCGTGAACCTCACAAACACGTTGCAGAAACTCTTTTCAGCTCCTGATTGAAACCCTACTAACCAGCCATGATCGACGCATTGCAGCATCACCTTTAGGACCTATCTTCTCACAGAAGCTCATTCGGAGACCTGGGCAGACACACTCAGAAAGGTAGCACTCATTCAGGGGGGGAAGCCAAGAAAATGAACACCCTGCAACACGACCAACATGCAGACACCTCGTGCCTCTCGTGTGCTGCGACGGGCCAATGAAGCCAACGGCCAACCGACATCTGCACGTCGTCGGTCACCACATCCCATCCTCTGCAAGCCTCACCGCACCCTCTGCCCTCGCCAACACGTCCAAACCTTGTTTTGGACAGCTATTCCCGTCAACTTGATGCCACAAGCCGCGATATCTCTCCGGGGAAGACGCAGAAATAGAGGGCCATCAGATTCTGTTATATCTCCAGCGGTAGGGTATGACAAGGGGGGGCCAAACCATCTGGCGAGACTCGGTCAAAAGGGGCTTTCGTTGCAGACCAACATACAGTCGCATCACTACAGGCTTCGTACATGGGGGAGGACACGCACATCACATACTACATGGCACACGCGGAGGACGTCTAGATGTCTGCTTTTGGAAAACCAGTTGGAGCAGTGGCGGGCATGGCGGGAGATTATCCGAAATGAGCATCTCTTAAAAGAAAGGTGTTGCCTCCCTCGGTTGGGAGTGATGGCTGTTGACGGGAGACAGCATGAGAAGACTTGACCAAGAGAGGAAGAGGAAGACGGACGATATTTGCTGTCCCTCCTGGGTGAAAAACTGAAAAAGAGTGAGAGAGAAAGCGGCATTTGTCGTCCTCCCGTTCCGTCTCGACAAACACGGATCTGGACTCCGAGCCCTCCCGCTTGTGCTCAGGCGGAAGCCATCTCGGATCATCTGAACCAGACGAGTTATGAAAAAGGAGAGACGTATGTTTACCTGGAGTGATTGCTTGCTGCTGCTTCCCCAACTGACACAGAGATTAGCATCAACATCAAATTCGACATAGACCATCTGTTGTCAGCCAGTGTCGCTGCTCTTCTTGTTCAGGGATCGAATCCAACGTTTGTGTCAAACCAAACAGCCCTCAGAGCAATATCGACCGCCCAGCAAGGCCACAAGCACAGTCCACGCGCAAGCAGAAGAACATCAATCATGGGCAACCCCATCGTCGACCTGGGCCTCTCGTGCCCCAAGGGCGGCCGCTTCTACATCTGCGAAGACCAGCCGACCAGCTTCGTGGGCTGCTGCACCATCGACCCGTGCACCACCGCCGACGGCCTCTGCCCCGACAACCATCTCCAGCCGTCGTCCTTCGACCCAGACGCCTACAGCGAGATCCGGGCGCAGGACTGCCTGGACCCGGGCTTCCTCTGGTACACGTGCCGCGACTCGTCGCCGCCGTTCCTGGGCTGCTGCTCGCAGATGGCGTGCGAGCCGTCGGGATGTCCGGCGAGCAAGGTCGGGGCCGCGAGCCTGGCGGGCAACAAACAGCGAGCGGCCCCTTTTCTGTCTGGAGGCTCGTCGTCCTCGAGGGAACCATCTTCGTCGACGACGATGACGACGACGAGCAGTGAGTTGGTTCCCTCGACGACGCTGAGCACGGCGGTCCTGAGCACAGCTGCGAGCACGACTGGAGGCGCTCCTCCGACGCAAGACAGCACCCAGCCTACTGCTGCCGTGTCACCTCCAGCGCATCCGGGGCTGAGCAAGGGCGCCGTCGCAGGCATTGCAGTGGGAGTAATCATAGCGGTAGGATGCGTGCTGGCCGGGCTGTTCTTCTGGTGGTTCAAGCAGCACAAGAAGCGGCGGCCCTCTGCCAACACCCTTACGGATGGCGGCAGCAGCCGCAAGGACGAGTACGGAGGGGAGGATTCGCTGGCCGAGCATCACGACGGCAGGCTGCTGGGGGCCGGACGAGGAGGAGGAGGAGGAGGAAGAGCAGGGCATATTCCGCAGGCAGAGCCTTCGCCGGGGCTCGAGTCGGTCATCTCGGAGCTGCCCGCCACGCCGTCGCAGCAGAGCATCACGTCCCCGGGGAGGCCGGTTGTGTCCATGGTGAGCTCCAGCGGCGGCGGCGGCGGCGTGACGGGCAGGGAGAGCGACGCTTCCGGCTATACCGCGAAGCTGCAGCACTCGCCATTGATGCACCAGACGCTGTTTGAGCTCGAGGACTCGTCGACCGGGGCGAGGTAGCGCGAGAGGTTATACTCGTACATGGGCTTTCACGACGGGATTACCTACCTGTCCAACGGCATCTTCATCTTTCCCTTTTCTTCTTGTACGACTTCCGTGCGTCCATCAATTTTCACTAATTCTTCCCTTTCACTTCACTCTTGTATGCAGATGATTCTCGGACTCGTACGGAGAGGTGCATGTATACGTGGCAAAAGGGGGGAAGGGGGGGTGTTTGTCTGGCCTGGTGTTGACGGGCTGTGGCTGACGGCTGTTTCGGGATACGAGCGACGGGCTTACGATAGTCTGATAGTTTTCGAGGGGCGGACTTTTTGAAACACTGTTTTCGGACTTTTTTTCCTTGTTCTTGTCTCGTATCGTCACTCTCAGCTGCTTTCTTCGGGTTTCTTGTTGGTTTCCCCCTTGTTCTGTTCGTCTTCCCTTGACAGCTGGTCCGGCATTGACTCACGGCTGCCTCATCTAGTTCATGTCTAGCTGCAGCTGCCTCTTATTATGCATACGCCCTCCTCGTGCTCTGTTCCAGCTCCAGCTCAACTCCCTCGTGTGAACTGTAGTGCTAGTAGTACTGGTAGTAGTAGTAGTAGATCGAAATACAAGACATGTCTTAGCATCAATCTACAGACACATTCGAACATGGCAAGTCTCGCAACAAGGGAATGCGCCTCAATTCCACGGGCGGCTTGCGCGTACGTACAGTATGGGACGCAGCATGTAATGTAATGACGAGTAGTACCTTAGTATCGTATGTACTACCTCACGAACCCTCAAGGGAGGTGACCATCGTCTTCTTCACTTCTTCACAAGCAAAGTACCACTTATCACGGGCCCAATCAGAGCCAACGCTTGACCAGAAGCCGTTACGAGAAGCAAAGTCACGGCAGGCTCTGAGGCGATGGGAAGCAAATGAGAGGCCGAGAAAGCAAAACTTGGAACAGGGAGAGAGATCAAAAACGAATATGCTTTCGAGCCGCTCCAACGCCTCACCTGCTCGGTGACGCCTCCCCATTAGCCAGGGTTTTCAGCCGCGTTTTTTCTGTTTCTTTCTGAGAGGCTTCTTTCGATTTTTTTTTCTTTCGGTTGCTGGCTGGCCAGGCGTTAGGTAGCTGCTCTTTTCGTCGACCCGGAGCAAGCATGAAGCGGATCCATCCGTCTGGTTGGCATTCATCTTCTTGTTTTCTCCCGTCTTCTGGTTTTTCCCTTATTATTCCGCACTTCTGGTTCGGGGCGGGTCATACAGACGTCATGATTCCATACGCGAGACTTGGCCGCCTCTTTCTTCCTTGGTTCTTCTGCTCGTTCGGAGTAGTACTTGGCACCGACGGATGTACCAGGCCTTACGCCGCCCCCCTCTCTCGAACGAAGAGAATAGGTAGGTATTGGGTAGGTAGTCGCAACAAAAGAAGCACGAAAACAAACAAAGGACCAACGGCCAAGGGAAAGAAAAAAAAGAGGTCAAAGCCACGGGGAAGCGCAGGGCTCTGGTCCACACCCTGAGGCGCAGCGGATTACGACATGTAAGACAAACAGCACTGTACTGCATAGTACATGTAGCAAAAGAGCCAGAAGCAAGGCAAGGCAAGGCAAGCAAGCAGCTTACGGTACGGAGTGCTTGCTGTATACAGTGTCTGCAAATTCTCGGACTTTGCCCCTGCTCCGTATTTCCATCTCCTGTGTTTCTATTTCTGTTGTTTCTGTTATGTTATTATTTATGCCTGTTTGCTTTGCACAGGGCAAGATCGACGATAGGATGCTAGATACACATCGTATACGAGGCAGAGGGCTCGACTTTTCTGTTACCTACATGTAGGTATCCAACCATCTTTTGCCATTGCGTTGCATGCACAGCAAAAGCAACCCAACCCTGGCTGCCCAGTCTGGCAGGATTGCCTAATCTGGACGACATCATCGGCGTTGACGCAATTGCATGATCAGAAAGACGAAAGCAGCTGCTATTCCTATTCTCTCGAACGCCCTCTACTAAGAAAAGAAAAAAAGACGAAAACAGAGAGACAAGGACAAGGGAAGAAACAATAAAATCCATGAATCAAAATAGATTAACACACACACGCACACACACACACATACACAAGGAACATCCTAGCTTTTGCATAGCTAAGGTAAGGGAAAAAAAGATTTCGATTTCGATTCACCCCTCCGATCGCCGGGCAATTATGCCATCCCATCTGCTGCAAGCATCATTCTTTCCTCTGCCTCTCCTTCTTGGCGTCCTTGTTCTTGTGAATGGCTGCAAACGCCCGCAGAGCCGGGATGCCGAGGATACGTCACCATTACCGCGTCCTGTCTCCTCTCCGCGTAACGCCCAGCGCCGATCGGTTGCAAGCCACCGGGAATAATCCCTGCAAGGACGACGAGGACGGGCTGCTGGTTCGCTGCCTGGGCCTTGCTGGCACACAAAAGCTGGGTGAGCAGAAGGCACAAAGCGTCGTGGTTGTGTGGGTGGAAGTGGACATTGGGGGGAGGGGGCTTGGTAGGAGGTAGGTAAGGTATGGGAGGCATGCTTGTCTCGAGCCACGGCGTACGAGTAGGTACATACTTGGACGTGAATACGGTCAACGACTCGGACTGTGATACTGTATGGACATGCAGCTTTCCCCCCCCAGCCTCTTTCTCCTCCGCCCCTTGCTCGGGCAAAACGACGTGTGTGGATGCGGTGTACCTCGTCTTACTGACGTGCCCCGGAGAGTACCCTTTGGTAGCCCGTCCGTTCCCCGTGGGCAAAAGGTACGCCGCCTCGGTCTGGCCACTACGTCAACACACTGTGTATGCTTCGTATGGGAAGCTGTGGTGTGTGTCTTCCGTCGTCGTCCTCTCTCCTGCTTTTCCTGCTATGTACTTCATCGCCCCCCCGTGGATCCACGCCAGCTGTGGCTGTTGCATGATTTTCCTTGTTGCGGACGTGGACAAGGGAGGGTGAGGTACTGTAGACAGAGGAAGCTGGGCTGGTTTAAAGAGCTGGCGGTCCTCCCTCGATCTTGATCCCGTACATCTCTCTTGTTCATCTCACCCCCTTTGCTTGCACTCACCAAAAGGCAAACTTATATACCCCCCCATATATAAACACTCGAGTCCATCCGCTCGCCAAGCGTTTTGACTTAAGTCTCTCCATACACACTCTCGCTCTTCCTCTCTTCAAAAGAAAAAAAAGCCAAAAACCAAACACAATCGTTTTCACAATGAAGGCCCAAACCCTCGCTGTCGTCGCCCTCGGCCTCTTCGCCGGAGAGTCACTCGGCCAGTCCGTGCCCCCCATCGTGTCGTCCGTGTCGGCCGAGATCTCGTCCGCCATCGCCTCGGGCAGCGCCATTGCCTCGAGCGTCGCCTCGCAGGCCTCGTCCCTGGCCAGCAGCATCGAGAGCCAGGCCTCGTCGGTTGCGTCCAGCGTCACCGGCTCCGGCACCACCGGCACCGGCGCCAGCACCACCACCAGCTCCGAGACGACGCTGACGACGACGGTGCCCGTCAGCACCACCGTCACCTCGGTCGAGTCGGGCACCACCGAGCCGGCCACCACCATCCCCGGCACCACCAACAGCCAGACCACCCGGGCTGCCACCACCATCCCCGGAACCACCATCTCTCCCACCACCCGCGTCTTCACCACCACCTCTGCTTCCACCTCCACCTCCACCGGCCTGGCCATCGCCCCTACTGCTGATGCCAAGCTGCTGGCTCCCATCCTCGGTGCCGCCGCCGCCGTCCTGATGCTGTAAACAACAAGCCAGCCAGCATGCAAATAAAACAATATAATGAGGTGGTTGTCTGATACCAAAGCATCGATGATTCCCTTCTTTCTGTCCTTAATGGTTACATATTCAAAGGAGGAGGGATTGAGGGAAGTGTGAAATAAGAGGGAGAGGAATAGGGGGGGAAACACGCCTGACCAGATTATTCGAGAAAGCAAAGAAAAACAGAGAGAATCTACGCATACACAGGATCTACTAATTAATATGTGCTTGTCTCACCGACCGGACAAACACGCGGCGGCGTTAGTTTCTGTCTTTTCTCTTCTAATGGATGTTAAATTGTTTAATCTTGTCTTTGTTGTTTCTTGGAAGATGTGAGGTGAAGTAATGGCAGTGGTTGTGTGAAGTGGTGAAAAAAGAACTAGCAGTCGAATTGTATGGTTAGTCCAATAATTCAAAAACTATTATCGAAGCAATACTGGCGGTTTTGTCCACTGCATAATCGTGACCTCAGCTTGCCAATTGACTCTAGCTGAGTGATTGAATGTTCCCTCTAAATCACATCATTCAGATCATTACGTAGATGACCTTGGGAGGACTCGGAGACGTAGCCGAGACGATGACTTCTACCTAGTCGGTGCTGGTTCGGCGGTATTACGCCTCTCGTGTGGCGGGATTCCCGGGAGTCGGTTACGACAAGTGATGGGAGGGGAGAGGGATCCCAAGTCTCGTCAGCTGTAGGAGAGGATGACGAACGAAGTTACAATTGCTGTTGCATGGCGACGACGATGAAAAAGTGTTGGCCATAGGAGAAGAGAAGAGGACGAGATGATTGATGCTGTAGTAGTAGTAATACCTACCTAGTATTTAGATACTTATGCATGGCAACGTCTTGGCATCGCTAATCTGTGTTGATGGAGATGCTTATATATAAGCCAACGCCTGAGCTTATTCTTCTCTCTATCCAGGCTGCACACGCCCATATTACAACGTATTCCGCTGGACAGCCCAAGAGCTCGTGTAATGGAGTCAGTCCTTCAGCCAGGCAATTGAGTCCTACGGCAGGATAGGTAACCTATGGGCATACCTACCTAATGGTATCGGGCAGCTATACGGCAACAGACATCATCGGCAGCGTGCCTTGTGACATGCATACGAAACAGTCACAGTTACTGCCTGGAAATGCCACTGAAGCTATTCTGTAGTTGATTTCTGCTTGCTGAGGATAATCCCTAGGTGTTGTTGAGGCAGCTTCATGAGTGCAGGTGACATTTGGCGGTGTCAGGCAGCATGAAAATACCTACCTAGAACCAGCTGCCAGCTGTCAAGCACCTGCCAAGCCTGTTGACTTCTCTCACCTCAGGCATCAACATTGATATCTGTTCTTTTGCTCTAGAACCTTTCTCATCTTCGCATCTTCGCATCTGCTTCCCAACTGCCCACGTCTCCTTCACCTCAAGAATCAGCCTCATCGCAATACCCAAGATGGCGCCCCCAGATCAGGACGGTGACGATACCCTCATGAGAGACGCCACGATGAGCGAGCCCATGCCCGAAATCGACGAGAGTGTCGCGCCGACAAAACATCTCCTGCCAGTCGAGGTCGCAGCAGAGTCCGAAGACGATGCCTATGACGATGTCGAAGACGACGCTCCAGATGCTCCCATCACTCCTGCTCAGCTTTCAGCGCCTCGGAAGAAGAGAAAGAGAAGCAAGAAGACGACGGCCAGCAGAGGCCCAACTGCGCTGCCCAAGAACCGCGGAAATGGGTTTGAAGGTATGGCGTGTCCTGGTCAATGAACTCGAGGCGTACCCGTGATACTAATCGGCACAGAATACTTTGCAGACCCTCCCATGACGCCCGCGGAGGCCATGCAGGAGAAGCAGGAGATTTATGCTCCGTGAGTATTACTACACAAGTCTGAGCCCGAAGTCAAGCTGACCATTACCACAGAGACATCCCATTCGAAAGGTATAATCAACCGTCTCGACCACTTGTCATTGTCACTCTCGTAACTAATCCGATGTGACACGTTGCAGGCGAATCGAGTCGTGTATCCAGCGTTACCGCTCCCGTCGTCGCATCCAGGCTCGCAGAGCCACCTACTTGAATGACTACCTCTTCCTCGGCGGCGTCGATACCAACCCAAGCGCCTACACTGGCCTCGATCAAAAGGACCTCAAGCAGCTTACGCCCGCCCAGCGTCGCGAGGCCACGGCCAGAGACGTCGTCTACAATGGCTCTGGAGCCGGCGATCGCTTCTACGACGGCGACAAGACCAAATGGACAGTGGACTTTGCTGGCGTTGCAGCGGGCTTCTTCTCCACGAGGCTCATCGTTCTGACAGGTCTTCATCCCAAGCCCATGGAAGAGGCAATCTCCGTCGTGGAGAATTTTCTTCGCTACGTCCTCCACCACGACGTCTGCCCCGAATACGAAGAAAGTGTCAAGAAGGCACTTGACATCTGCCAGATGGCCAGAGATGAATGGACGTCTCTGAACACGTTACAGACTGCGCTTCCAGGAGTCTTTAACCCAGCTGCGACGGAGCTGTTTGTTGAGTTTGATCCCTACTCGTGGGACTCTTCTCAATTCAGAGTTCCAGAGGGATTCGATGCCAAATCCGTCTTCTATTCGTCGGTTGCCATGCTGGATGACAACAAGATGTTTGAGCACCTGGCTGGCAGAGCAGTCGAGCTCGTCAACCAGTACGAATGCGCTCTGGAGGTCACGGCGGTTCATCTCCCGCCCGAGGAGGTCATTCAGCGATTCAAGAAGCTGGCCATTACCGCACCTGGAGACAAGACATTTCGACTCATGCCCCTAGGCAAGCTCACTCTCAAACCAGCCACCATCGAAGACGGGTGGGTTCAACGAGGCACGGTGCATCCCCTGCAGGGCAAGGAAGTTGACCTGTACTTTGAGCAAAACATACTCAAGAGCCTAAGGCCGGGCATAAAGATGGTGCTCGAGATTGGAGACCTTGGGGCCGACGTTTGCTTTGTCAAGAGTATCCAAAAGATTATGCCTACGTTTTACACGTTTCTGCCCCAGGAGCTGATGGTGCAGTTCAAGCTTCCTCAGGAAAACGACCGGCCGGCACCATCGGTGCACAATCCTACGATGGAAGACAACCAGGGGGCTGAGGAATAGTCAGGGATGATGTTTAATCTCGCAATGGCCTGGGAGTGTTATTAGGTAGTGGGTGCTATCAGGACCGTGGTGCCATCTACAAATAGCTCAGTAGAGATGGCCACCAATGGTCGAAACGGCTCCTAAATCAAAGAAACGAGGCCAAAACCTTGACCAAATCATGTGCTATAATCCCTAACGCCTCAAAAGCTAGTCAATATAGATCATTAACGAAGTAGTGAGAGGACCTCGGTTATAAACAAGAGTCTTGAAGAGCAAACACCTCTCTACTCTCTATTCGCCCACACTTCGCTGCAGCATATCACGCGTCTCCATCGCCGCCACGGTTTCTGCCTCCGTACATGTGTATTGGGGTATCATTTGACATATTCGGGCTGATGGCGGCATACGATCATTATCTCTTTGTCTTCCATTAATCACGCGTCTGCACCTTGTGGTCGCCAGCAACGACCTCAGCATACGAAGGCGGCACACCCTGGTGATGATCAGAGCTGCCCTCTCCCGAGCCCGTCACCCCATGCTGCTGCGGCTGAGGCGACGGGCTGTGGTGTTGTAGCTGCGAGGTCGTCCCGTAGTTCATGCGGCCGTTGCCGTCCTGCGGCTTGGGCTGCTGGTGGTGAGGTCCGGGAGGGGACTGGACGTAGACGTAGGTGACGCGGTTGCTGCCGTAGCGCTCGTCGTTGGGGACGGCGTCGTATTCGTAGGGCGGCTCGGGGAACTTGGCGATGATGTACCAGGCGTGGAGGAGGCCTGGGATGAAGCCGAGGATGCAGAGGAGGATGTTGATGAGGGAGTCTGCGCTGCAGATGCCGCGCTTGACCCAGACTGCGGGAGAGAGATGGAGTGTTAGTTAACACTCTATGAGTCGCGAGGAAGGATGAGGAGGGTGATATGAAGGGTACTGAGATGGGATTTGTGGACGTACCGGGCAGCGGAGGGAAGAGGATGGCGAGGACGCCGAGGAAGATGTCGGCGGAACACATGGTGGCTTTGCTCGAGTTTGTTCTGTTTATTTGTTCTGTCCTTCTGTTCCGCTTGTATCGATGGAATGAAGAAGATGTATTAGTTGAGGGTAGGTAGATAGATGAGACGGCGATGGAGAGGATGAATCCAAGGGTCTTCTTGTCTGGTTTGCGCGGCCTACCAGATGGGCTGGATAACGAGATAAAAGAGGGCGAAAGTGGGCTTGTGACGGATGATGACGATGGTGGTGCTGCTTGGGGACAAGGTTGCGTAATGGCATGGCTGGAGCGGGGGGCATGATTGGCTGGATGAGGGAGACGGTGGGGTTGCTGTGTGAGTACATGTACTTGCGATCTGAACTCGAGATTTGGTCATCAGTGAGTGGTATTCAGGGTAGGTGATGATGCATGCTTGATGTCGCAGAAGGACAAGGTCCTGTTTGGATATCGTGATGCTGTCATTGTTGATTCAAGAGGAATAAAGCCTCATTGATTCTATGGCCTCAATAGTTGGATACTCATGGAGAAAAATCTGTAAAGGGACAGGGTCTGGAGGTCTGATGTTGAGTCACGCGCGCAACAGCAGACAAAGCAGTTCAACTTGAGGCCTAGAACACAAATGGTAATGCCTGGTACGCTGCTACTGTACCCCAGATCATGGTCTTCCTTCATGGTGGCTACATAGATAAAGTACCTAAGTATTCACCATCAGAAGCACTAGAATATTCGTTTTGAGCTTCGCCATTCATTACAAAGCACACTTCGTGCACAGCCTGCAAAGAGGCGACTCGCAGCCTCTTCGTACCTGTACTCCAGCTGCACGCCCGCATCCAAATGGGGCGTATGCTCGGTCAAGGCCCCTCACCGAGACATCCCGACATTCATCCGCGGTGAGAGCAGGCTGACCTTGACTTTTCCACCAGCAGCCTTGCCGCTAGCGCGCGTCAATCATTTGATTGTTCCATCTCGTAACTTTTTCTCAACATCAATCCGCAACCATGGACGACCTGTTGAACCTCGAGCTGCTGTCGCTCGTGTCCAAGGTCACCTCGGAGCTGCAGAACCACGTCGGCATCAGCGACAAGACCCTCGCCGAGTTCCTCATCGCCCAGCGCCTCGAGAGCTCCTCCAGCGATGACTTCCGCAAGAGGCTCGAGGCGCTCAACGCCGACTTCCCGCCTAGCTTGGTCGACAGCCTGGACCGCCTCGTGGTGGCCATGCATCCCAAGTTCAAGGGCCAAAACGGCGATGCGCACCACGACGAGCCGCACCATCACAGGACGCGGGAGGAGAACGAAAAGGTCTTTAGTGGACTCGCTCTGCCCGATAAGAAGCCTGCGTATGACGACGGCGCAGACGCCATCGATGATACGCTGGCGCTGCTAGAGGGGCTAGAGGGCAAGGCAAAAAAGGAGAAGACGTCAAGAAAGAGGAGTAGAAGTCCGGAAGACGGGGCCAGAGAGTCAAGATCACGGCGGCATCGATCAAGGTCTCGAGACGGCCGGAGGCGGGACAAGTACAGGTCACGATCACGGTCACAAGATGCCGGCGACGAAGACTGGCGGGACGGATTCCGAGAGAAGAAGTCGCGAAACCGAAGACGATACGACTACAATGACGACATCGACGAGCTCAGCCGGGCGCCCGCACCCGAGGTGGACGACGAGCCGATCATGAACAAGGTGTATCAGGGCCATGTCACCGGAATCAAGGACTTTGGCGCCTTTGTGAACATTCACCACGTCAAGGGCAAAGTCGACGGCCTGGTCCACATATCTCGCATAGTGTCCGGTCAGCGTGTAAACCACCCCTCCGATCTGCTGTCTCCTGGGCAGCAGGTCTGGGTCAAGGTTGTCAGCATCGAAGGCCGCAGGGTAGGGCTGTCCATGAAGGATGTCGACCAGGAGACGGGCCGAGATCTCGAACCACAGGCGAGATTGACTACTGGCGCTAACATGGAAGCTCTTGGTGGTCGTGGAAGAAACGGATTTGTCGATGATACACCCGCGATGCCCCGAGATTCCCTGGGGCCCCCGAGACGACAAAAGAAGCGAATGACTTCACCAGAACGCTGGGAGATCCGGCAACTCATTGCGTCCGGTGTGGCCAAGGCTTCAGACTACCCCGACCTTGAGGAGGATTACAATGCGACGCTCCGTGGAGAGGGTGAGTTGGAGCTGGAGGAAGACGTTGACATTGAAGTTCGAGAGGAGGAGCCGCCCTTCCTGGCCGGCCAGACAAAGCAGTCCTTGGAGCTTTCTCCTATTCGAGTGGTCAAGGCTCCTGATGGATCCATGAACAGAGCGGCCATGGCCGGAACCGCGCTGTCTAAGGAGAGGAAAGAATTGAAGCAGAAGGAGGCCGAGGCCGCCAAGGAGGAATCAAAGGAAAACCTCTCCGCCCAATGGAACGATCCGATGGCCGACCCCGATAAGCGCAAGTTTGCTAGCGATCTCAAGAACGCTCGAATGAATGCCAAGACGGAGGAGGAGCCCGAATGGAAGAGGGCAGTCATTCCCAAGGGCCAGTCATTGGGCAAGCGCACCAACCTCAGCATCAAGGAGCAACGGGAGTCTCTGCCCGTCTTTGCGTTCCGTTCCCAGCTGATTGAGGCGGTGCGTGAGAATCAGATCTTGATCGTGGTTGGAGAGACTGGCTCCGGAAAGACGACCCAGTTGACCCAGTATCTCGCCGAGGCCGGGTTCGCTGAGGACGGCATCATTGGCTGCACGCAGCCTCGTCGAGTCGCCGCCATGTCGGTTGCGAAGCGTGTGGCAGAGGAAGTTGGCTGCAAGCTCGGCGAAGAGGTTGGATACACCGTCCGTTTCGACGACTGCACCAGCCCTGCGACGCGGATCAAGTACATGACGGACGGTATGCTGCAACGAGAGATTCTTGTGGATCCAGACTTGACGCGGTATTCCTGCATCATGCTTGACGAAGCCCACGAGCGAACCATTTCTACCGACGTCTTGTTCGCCCTGCTGAAGAAGGCATTGAAGAGGAGGCCCGACTTGAAGGTCATTGTCACCTCGGCCACCCTGGATGCCGACAAATTCTCTGCTTATTTCAACGAGTGTCCCATTTTCACGATCCCCGGCCGAACATATCCCGTCGAGATCCTGTACTCTCGCGAGCCCGAATCTGACTACCTCGACGCCGCGCTCGTCACGGTCATGCAGATCCACCTGACAGAGCCCAAGGGCGATATTCTACTCTTCTTGACCGGCCAGGAGGAAATCGACACGGCGTGCGAGATTCTATACGAGAGAATGAAGGCTCTTGGACCGAGCGTGCCAGATCTGCTCATCTTGCCCGTGTACGCACAGCTTCCGAGCGAGATGCAGAGCCGTATCTTCGAGCCCGCTCCCCCGGGCAGCCGAAAGGTTGTCATTGCCACGAATATTGCCGAAACCTCCATCACGATTGACGAGATCTACTACGTCGTTGACCCTGGCTTTGTCAAGCAGAACGCCTACGATCCCAAGCTCGGCATGGACTCTTTGGTTGTCACGCCCATCTCCCAGGCACAAGCCAACCAGCGTGCCGGTCGTGCCGGTCGAACGGGCCCTGGAAAGTGTTTCCGCCTGTACACAGAGGCCGCTTACCAGTCTGAGATGCTGCCGACAACAATCCCCGAGATCCAGAGACAAAACTTGTCGCACACGATTCTCATGCTCAAGGCCATGGGCATCAACGACCTCTTGCACTTTGACTTTATGGATCCACCGCCGATCAACACAATGTTGACGGCCCTGGAGGAGCTCTACGCCTTGAGCGCGTTGGACGACGAGGGCCTGCTGACCCGCCTGGGACGCAAGATGGCAGACTTCCCGATGGAGCCGTCGCTGGCCAAGGTGCTGATCGCTGCCGTTGACTATGGCTGCTCCGACGAGATGCTCAGCATCGTGGCGATGCTCAACCTGCCCAACGTCTTTTACCGCCCCAAGGAGAAGCAGTCGCAGGCCGACCAGAAGAAATCCAAGTTCCACGACCCTCACGGCGACCACCTGACGCTTCTCAACGTGTACAATGCGTGGAAGAACAGCGGGTACTCGAACCCGTGGTGCTTTGAGAACTTTATCCAGGCGCGGTCCATGCGGCGGGCCAAGGACGTGCGGGACCAGCTCGTCAAGATCATGGAACGCTACAAGCACCCGGTGGTGTCGTGCGGCCGCGACACGCAAAAGGTGCGGCAGGCTCTCTGCACGGGCTTCTTCCGCAACGCGGCGCGCAAGGATCCCCAGGAAGGGTACAAGACGCTGACGGAGGGCACGCCGGTGTATCTGCATCCCAGCTCGGCGCTGTTTGGGAAGCAGGCCGAGTGGATCATCTACCACACGCTGGTGTTGACGACGAAGGAGTACATGCACTGCACGACGAGCATCGAGCCCAAGTGGCTGGTGGAGGCGGCGCCGACCTTTTTCAAGGTCGCGCCGACGGATAGGCTGAGCAAGAGGAAGCAGGCGGAGAGGATCCAGCCGCTGTATAACAAGTATGCGGGCGAGGATGACTGGAGGTTGAGTGCGCAGAGAAGAGGAGGGAGGGGTGGTGGTGGTGGTACTTGGGGTTAGAGGGACGGAATGTTCTGTCTATAATTTGTTTATGTTATGCATGGAGTTTCAAGGGCTCTTTTTTATGTTGAAAAGATGTGCATTGATTCATAAGAATGAGCGATGAGTTTTTGGGATAGGGGTGGTTTTTACAGTTAGATGGTCGAATGCAAGACTGTGGCTCTGGTTGATCACTGGATATATGCTCGTACAGTAAATGATGTGCTGATGATTGAGAGTGTCTTATCATACCCCTTCACTGCCTTTTGACTGTCTTTGCGATGGCCGTTAAGCTGCTTTGTCCGATTCTACGAAATCAGGCAGTGGAAGACGAGGAGCTCAAGAGGAGCCCCCGAGTTTCTGGGCACTGCCGGAAGGCAATTGTACATATCGACGATCATGCGTAGAAGTGTATCCATCCTGTTACCTACCTATCAAGCAGTATGCTTGGAAACAAGCAGAGAAGATTGCTCGGAGCACCCCGGGTGAGCGAGTGTTTGCACCGCTTTCTGAATTTGTACAGGCAAACTCCATCATGGCTGCCTGGGTACAACTTGCCTGCTTTAAAAATGTTGCTTACCTGTCCATGCCCCTTGCATTAAACGATTGGCACCCAAGAAGAGAGAGGTTTAGGCAGGAATCTGTACAAAGAGGGAGTGCGAGTGCTGGGCTTAAACTTGACATGCACGTTTGTAGGACAGACGCCCATCACCCCATTCCAACGGGCGTCATATCACGTCTTGGTAACAGCCTGCAATGAATGACCTGCATATTAGCGCCTGCGCTTGTCAATCTCAAACCCGCTGAGCTTTCCCCCTCTTTTTGATCATATGGATTCGAGAATTGCCAGTTGAATTTTGTCTGGGAGGGCTGAGCAGAAGCCTTGCGATGCAGGCTGTCAGCGGCTAAAACGGAGCTTGGAGAGAGGCTCAGCCCGTTTTTGCTGCCTTCTAACTAATACATCCCCGTCCGGTAGGCTCTCGGTGCACTATTTTTACTGCTGAAGTGATCCAAGGTGAATGACACGGCTATAGAGGCTATAAGAGGCTGTCTGGAAGGAAAACAGTTCGCCGAGGATGGGGCTTTGGGGTTATTCTTCAGCTTAGAGAGTCAAGTGTAAGTAAGGTATCTAGCAAGTGCAGCTGACTGAGCCAAGGGCTAGATGACGCTCTTGTGAGCCGTCTCGTTTCCACCTGCTGTTTGGTATCATACCCAGGGGGGTGGTGCAAAGGCAGGATGAGGGCGTGGCTGTGGTTGAGGAGCTGACACGTATCTGGCATGTCAAGTGCGTGGAATTGGGGTCTGGGTTTTGCTGCAGCATCTGGCACCCTGTGGTTGGACATGGCCGTGCTAAAGGGGTCACGCGGGAGTGCAGGAAAAAAAAGAGAAATAGCGAGCCAACCTGAACAGAAGGGGGAGGAAAGAGGACGAAGAGAGGAGCGAGCAGTTGGAACGTGAAGGCGAGTGAGTGTCGTTGGTGGTGCAACGGGTGATGTTTGCGAGATTGGTTGGTTACCTTGATCGTCATAGTAGGTGGCATTGGCTGTGTCATGTAACAGACGGTGAGATATTTGCCTCTAAGAATGTCACATGCGGTGTCATTCGAGACTGATGGAGGCAATGGAAGAAGCCGGAGAGACACAGGAAGAGCAAGTGGTGAGGATAGAGAAGAGGAGACGAGGGGGAGAAGAGGCTGAGCATCGAGAGGCTGCCTGCAAGCTGAGCACTTACTAGACGTAGACGTTGAGTGTATTTTCGGTGACTGTCACAAGAACCCCTGCAGCAGCAGACAAGCCCACTAAAAAAGAGTCAAAACATGGAATCTCGTCAAATCATTTGGCGCTCGCCATCGTGTGAAGTTTTGGAATCGAGCACTATTACGTGCATGCTTGCCGCGTGGGATCCCAGGAAAGGAAAACATGAAATCCCGACCGAGAAAATGCGCCTTACCAGCAATCGGGAAGATGCCCGCGCACTGCCATTGGCTGGGGCGGAGGAATGCGCTGAAATGTTGAGACTGTTTGGTGGCTCAGCTGCCTTGGCTTTCAATGCTTGGTTGTTTGCTGCTTGATGACTCGGGAGCGCAGATGCAGATGGCGAGAGAGAGAGAAAAAGTCAGAGACAAAGAGAGAGAGAGAGCAAACGGCAGGAGAAGCAGCATGAAGCCAAGGAGAGGAGGCGATTTTGGTACATGTAGGTGATCAAACTGAAGTCAAAATTGCCTTGGGGCTTGGGGGGGTCAAAGCCCGGCGACTCGGCACCAGACGGCACAGCAGCACCTGGGCAGCTTGGCAGTGGACAGCACGGCGGTCAGAGCTCCCTGTGGCTCCAGGGGACTAGCCGCTGTAACTGCGTGCTAGCCACGGGCTGAACAGGGCGCCAGAGGCCGTCGGGTGCAACCAGCCAGCGGGCTAGGCCGGGCCTGGTTTGGTGGCGGGAACAGGTAAGTTGGGAAGAGATCCATTTCATTTCATTTCAGTCATTGATCGTTACCGGTCAGAAGCCGCCACTCTGTTCGCCCGACGCCCTTGACCGTGTGTGTGTGTGTGTGTGTGTGGCTTATGCCGGTCTCTCTCCAACTCCTTTCACTCTTGCAGCCCTCAGCAAGGCACATTTTTTTTTCCATCCTCGCGATCCGCTGCCCTACAAAAGCCCTTGCGATCCCCCCCCGACCGGATGCTCGACATGGTTGCGCGACTGCTGTGACTGCGACGCCCCTCCGACGGTCCTGAAACCCGACAGATCAGATCCCGTCATCAAAAGCCATCCCTGGCAGCCTGCAGCCGTGCCTTACCTTACTCACTTGCCCTGAACCCGGCCTGTCAACGAGTAACGACAAAACAACGATCCTACTCCCTAATAAGGAGCCTCTTTCTGTTCTTCTCAAGTATTATCGCCTCCTCTGCCCACCACGGCTAGACAGGAACAGACGCGGTATCCCTCCATAGAGACGAGGGATTCGGAGAGAGAAGAAGAAGAAGAAGCAGCAGCAGCAGCAGCAGAAGGAGACCGAGAAGCAGCCGTAACGCTGGAATCAGACACAGACGCCGAAGCAATGGGCGCAAAGAAGAGGATCCCCAGCCCCGACGAGCTGCGCGACTACGACCATGCCGTTGCCGGACAGTGAGTCGATTCTTACAGACTGACAAGTGTCGCTGCTCCATCGCTACCTTTGTGCTGACCATCCCCTGCGCGCAACCACAGTGCGGGCACCTTGTGCGACGCCGACGGCGAGCTCTTCATCAAGCCCTGCACCCAGACCGAGATCGACTTCTACCAGGCCGTCGAGGCCAACGGCTACCGCGACTTTGCCGAGATCATGCCTCTCTTCATGGGCGATCTGCAGCTGAGCAACCCACAGGACGTGCCTCTCGACGACGCGCTCCTCGGCGTCGTGTCCGACGCCGGCATCGAGACCAACAAGGACAGCATTGCTGCCAAAATAGTAGAGCAGGTGGCAAAGGTGGTGCCCAGCGCCGTTGCCGACTGCGCCGCCTCGTGGGTGCCGACCCAGGGCAAGAAGATCAAGACGGACAGGTCGGTGGTGCTGGAGAATGCCTCGTTCGGCTACAAAAAGGCAAACATCCTCGACGTCAAGCTGGGCGTCCGGCTGTGGGCCGACGACGCCCCTGCCGAGAAGAAGCGGCGCTTTGATGCCATTTCCAAGCAGACGACTCACGGGAACCTGGGCTTCCGCATCGCCGGCATGAAGGTCTATCACGGCTCGGGCGACGAGACCAAATGGGACAAGGAAGGCTACATGATCTACGACAAGGACTTTGGCCGGCTGACAGTCAACGACGACAACGTGGTCGACGCCTTCCGGACCTTTATCTTCAACAAGACCGCCGGCATTGACCAGGCCCTGGGCAGAGCCGTGTGCGCCGCCTTTGTGCGGGACCTGGAGCGCGTCGAAGAGGTCTTGAGCAACCACGAGACCCGCATGTACTCGTCGTCTCTCCTCTTCATCTTTGAGGGCGACGGTGCCGCTCTGAGCGCGGCGATTGAGAAGAACAACGAGATCATGGAGCGTGAGTCGGCCGAGGCGTACACCTGTCCGCCGGTCTCGCGCACAAACATTGGCTTGGACAACCGCATGGACAGCGGCATCGCCTTGGAGGATGAGGACGACTCCGCCAATGGAGACGAGGACGAGGATGACCTCCAACTGCCCAAGATCTATACCCTGAAGCTCATCGACTTTGCGCACGCAGAGTTTACGCCCGGCCTCGGACCAGACGAGAACACGCTGACTGGAGTCCGCAGCCTGTTGCGGATATTCAGAGAGCTGGCCGGCGAAGATGACTAGGTAGACGACTAGACTCATGCACGGTGGCATGGCTTGCTTTTATTGGTCGCTCTCGCGGGTCTGTATGTACAGCATTGCTACGAGCCGGAGGGCAGACCGCTGGCGTTGGTGGAGTTGACGGCTTTCTCTTGCGAACATCGAGGACGGGCATTATTACTTGCGTCTTTTTGTTGTGTCGAAGAACATCTTCTGATACCCCCGGAGAAGTCTGAGTGACGATGGAGCTTAAAAAAACGGGAAGCCCAAAAGGGGGGCAGTCCCCAGATCGGGGTGTTTGTGGTATTTACTTGGCTGGATGGTTGCAAACTGCAAAGGGTAGAGCGTGGCTCCGCATGGAGATGGGAAGAAGGCATCCGTCTTTGATTTAGCCTTGACGACGACATGATGGGTTTGGGCGCAACAGGAGTGTTTTTTCTTTTCTTTTCTTTTTTCCCCCTAGGTAATTTAGTAGTTCTTTTCAGTTTTGGAGTTGGGGAGGCGGAGCGACTTGAATGCTTGACTTGAATGCATGGATAGCATTGTTCGGCGGGCTTTAGAAGAAAAAGAGTACATTATCGTCTTTGCAGGTAGCACAAACACGCGAGACAGCAATAGACGCTTGCAAGGTGCCTGTCACTACCAATACTACCTACCTTACCTGTTGATACCTATACTAGTATCTCCGTTGATGCCTAAGAGAGAGAAACTGATGCCCTTGACGATCTGCTCTGCTGCACCGGAGATCGATCTGGGCTCTAGTTTCAGCGCTACACATGCTGAAAGACGTCAGCTCAGCGGGCCGTTACGCCTATCGGGTTAGCGGAACGACAACCAAAGTGCTAGCAGCTACCCGGTCCTCCATGCAAGTGCAGCAGGATGGACATGTATCTCTGATCAGAAAAGTCCGACCCCACGCATCGCATTGACTTCCATGTTCCCGCCTTTGCCTTTTCCCGCTATCGGCTCTATCGCAAGCTCAACCCGGAAGCTTCATTTTGCAGCTCCAGCTTCGAGCAACGGGAATTCTGCCTCGTGACTTTGTCCTCTCTTTATGTAGGTAGGCGGCCATGTCCATTCCCGGCCTTGGGCAGATCCCGGTACAGGTGCGTCATCCAAGAAAGACTGCCTGTGCACTCCTCCTCCAAATAAATCACTGACTGACAGCTCCATCATCATCACCACCATCACAGGCGGCCGTTTCCTCGACGCGAACCATCTCCCTCCGCCCGGCGTGGGAATGGCGATTCCAGGTGCCCGCTGGCGGCTCCATCACCGTCAAGGTGCTCTCCGGCACCGCTGAAAAGGACGGCGTCGAGCTGCCGCTGCGCAATGCCTACACCTTCTCCGGCATCAAGTCCAAGATCCTCACCTGGCACGGCTGCGAGCTGGAGGTGGAGGGCCGATGCGACCGCGACTCCGTGGCCGAGTACCCTAACCCGGTCGCCAATCCGGCCACTTCACACATCAACCTGCATGCGCGGCTGAGCGACATGCGCGTCGACGCCACACGGCAGCGGCGGGAGGGCCCCAGAGTGCTGGTTGTCGGGCCGCCCAACTCGGGCAAGACGACGCTGGTCAAGACGCTGACGAGCTATGCCACGCGCCAGGGATACCAGGTGATTACGGTCAATGCGGATCCCAGGGAGGGCATGCTGAGCCTGGCGGGGACGCTGAGCGCGAGCGTCTTTGCGACGGTCATGGACCCCGAGGCGGTGGACGGCTGGGGGTCGACGCCGACGAGCGGGCCGAGCACGGTGCCCGTGAAGCTGCCCATGGTGTTTCACTACGGGAGGGAGTCGCCGGAGGAGGACGAGGACTTTTACCGCGAGCTCGTGGCGAGGCTGGCGGGGGCCGTGAGTGGGCGGCTGAGCGAGGATGAGGAGGTCCGGGGCTCGGGGGTGATTGTGGACAGCATGGGCATCAGCGAGGGTGGGCAGGTCGGAATGGATCTGGTTGCGCATATCGTCGATGAATTTTCCAGTGAGTGTGGCCCAATATCCCTTTAGCATCGGTGGTTTTACGAGGCGGCTGATTGGTGTTCCTCTACAGTCAACATAGTGGTGGTCATTGGATCGCCCAAGATCCATGCCGACCTTACGACCCGGTTTGCGAGCGAAAAGACGAGCCTTGGGGAACAAATACAGGTGGTTGCGCTGGACAAATCAGATGGCGTCGTCGAGAGGGACGAGGCCTTTCTGCAGCACTCTCGCGAGGCTGTTATCAAAGAATACTTTTTTGGGGACGCAAAGAGGACGCTGAGTCCGCAGATTCAGCAGGTTGATTTCGACGCCCTGACCATTTACAAGCTGGCAGACTGTACGTTTACGCTTGCCAGCAGGGCTGCTACATCCGTTACGCAGGGTTACTAACGATGTCGTTGTACAGATTCACCCGATGAGAAGCAGAGCTTGGTGACGGAAGAGCCGTCATCGCTCATGCAGCACTGGACCTTTGCGGTGATGAACGCCTCGGTGCGTGACAGTCCGGACGTGGTGCGCGCGGCCAGCGTGCTGGGCTTTGTATACGTGGCCGACGTCGACGAGGACAGGCGCAAGATTAAGATTTTGGCCCCGGTGAGCGGGAGGCTGGGGGACAGGCCGCTGGTCTGGGGGCGGTGGCCGGAGCCGTACATTAATCTGTTGGGATAGACATTCTGAAATGGACGGACGAAAGCAAAGACTGCATGTCCCTGCCGTGAGATGTTGATGGGAAGCATGGTGTGACTTTTGCGTGACTGTTGGTGTCTCACCGAGTTTGACAGGTGACTCTAGGCTTGACTTGTGTTGGCTGTGTAAGTTAATAACTTGAAGGTAGTATGTCTGTGAGAGTCCCGGAGCACGGGGGTTTAGAAAGCCGCAGATGCTGGACGAACTGCATCTCGATTCGAAGCGTCTGGTTGTTGGTTGGCGGCCTCTCTTGGAGGACTTGCGATTGCATTACTCGTGGGGATGCTTGATCTGATGTACGAAAGGCATCAGGTGGCATATGCCAAGAGACACCATATGCAGCAATGGCATCACATGTGCGTCCTTGTTTTAGACGGGTTTTTAACGTAATGGCAATCGAGACCGAAGCAGAACGCCGTGCTGTACAGTGCATCGGCAAGGGGGCGGGGGAGCAGGAGGCTTAGCAGATGGTTCGTGAGTCGTTAGAGGGAAGAAGAGCAGGGCTTCTTCCATTGCTTTCTGTCTTTGTCTCGAGTTGGGTGATTGGCTGTATTCCGTCTTTGCTGGGGGAGATTTGGTGAGAACGCGCGTCGAGCCAAGACTGACGGAGGAGGAAGAAGGGGGGGGGGATGAGAAGCTCCGTGGTCTGGGGAGGCTTAGCAGGACCTGTGGCTTGGGGTGGCGGAGGAACCGGAGGCGGGATGCTTGGGGGATTTACTTTTTTGAAGCGAGGTTGATGATGATGATGAGCATGAGCATGGAGTTACTTTTGATTGGGATCACTGATGACGGTGAGAGAGGAGATGAAGATGACGAGTTCTTGAAAGTTCTCTGAATGTTAAAAGATGTATGCAGTTGAGCGTTGTCTACCTTATTACTGTACGGTACCTGTATCTGCGGTGCTCCTGTGGTGGCTTGCAACTTTCCAGGCCGTTCAAACGAGTCTAAACACCACGGCAAGTTTGCTTGGTATTGGCGGGACTAGGACTGAAGGAGGCAAGCCTGGATGGAGAGGTCGAGCACGTGTGTGCCGCCACAGGGAGGATACGTAAGATTGACGGGGGGGTTTCTTTTCATGGGAGAGAGTGATGGGTATTGAGTGTGTGTCTGCCAAGAGTATTGGCGTTGATGATGATGGGGTTTCTTGGGTGTGTTTGGGTGCGGGGTTGATGGATGATTACGGATGCTGATACTATGGGTGGTGAAGGATGGTGAAGGGGGATGCAGAGGATGGTGATGACCTGTGGTGTTTGATATCTCTGGCCACATATCCGAGATGAGACTTGACATGATGGATCTCAGCAACATCAACAGCAAACAGACACAGAAGAGAATTCGTGAAGCTATAGTACGGAACCGGTTGTATGAGAGATACGACGGTCATCAAGATGCTTCCTCCCCCGGTCATGCTCAAGCTACATGTATGTACGAGACGGCCTGCAAGCCACTGACACGCTCCACTCCCCGTGTTACTCTGGCTGTGCTTCCCCACGGCACGGCGGCAACGCACAATCATGTCATTGCAAACCGACGGGCGCTTTGCCGAACCTGGGCCGTGACCGTCGGTTGACCACCCAAGCACACCGGCGAAGAGAGAGAACCAGGCCAATCGGACTGGACCATTTTATTTGAGTGAGGTGTCTTCCCCCCCCCCCCCCCGCTCACTTTTACCCCCGGGATGGGAGTTGGAGGGGTTGCGGCACGTGCTGGTGGATGTTTGGGCGGGAGGGAGATGGAAAATGGGGGTGGGATGTTGATGCTGATGCTGGATGTAGATGCTGGATGTAGATGCTGGATGTAGATGGTGATGGTGATGGTGATGGTGATGGTGATGGTGATGGTGATGGATGGCATCGATGTTGAATGCCAGGAGAAGACGGAGGATATCATCAAGCTCAGGTTATCAAACGGTTGGTGTAGATGTTGGGGTGGCTCTTGATAGGTAGTAGGTAGGTAACCTCCGGCCCCTTTAGATGCCTCAGAGACAACCGAGACAGTACATGTAATAGCTCATCGACTCTATTCTCGCCGAAACTCAATCTCACATCGTCATCATAGTGTCTCTCAAACTGCATCACGCAAACAACATGCAGCCCCTGCTATTAACCGATGACAGTTCACCAGTGGCCACAGTATGTACAGCATCTAGCCCAGCACCAACCGCATGTGGACGCACGCACCTCTGCCTCCAAAAGGAAACCGGCGTCCCTCGTCTCGTCTCCCCTCCCACACCAACCTGCACATCATGCTCTATCTGGACAGCTAGGCTATCCGCCGCCTCCGTCTGATAACGGCTCGCTCTAGCATCTCGCCTCTCTCTGCTGTGATTTGCTGGTCCATTCCGTCCATTCAGCCAGGCGCTTCTTTGCCCAGATATACTTCCAATGTTTGTATAAAGTGGCGTGGGAAGCTACGCTTTGTGAGGATGTACTTGCTCTCCCTCGCCTCCTCCTCTTCTTCCCTCTTACCGTTTTCTTCTTTGCCTTACCCAGGCTTCCACCTTGGCCCTTGTTTCTGATTTCTTCCCTGGACCGCCCCAGGTTGTATTGTATAGCAACACAACGTTTACCTATATAGCCAGCCCCGGACGGTGACTGAAGGAATTGGACACTCTCTTCACACCCCCCGTCTTCTACAACTCTTCTGCCCTACTTTGTTGACTTCTCTCTCACCCACCCACCCCTTTTTCAAAACTGTCATTCGCCCTTGATCCCGCCACACCAGCAACGGCAGAGGGGCAACGAGGCTAAGCCAGACCCTCGGCTTCTCATCCACAACACAACCTTATCAGGACAACATCTCTACAGCAAAGACCTCGCGTCTTGTCCCGGCTGGAAACAGCTTCTCGATACCCGTTCGATGGGAGAGACCGTCATCGTCTTCACGAATGGTGCACAAGACGCCAACGCCTCGTCGGACTCGTCGACCCTCTCCAGCAGCGGCCAGGACGACCAGCCCCCTATAGCGGAACCCCCCGACATAGCATCATCGTCATCGTCATCACCCGCAGCTATAGAGAAGCCGCTCTGTCCTCACACCCTCTCCGCCCGGCGCGTCGCCGAGCTGCTCCGGACCGACGCCGAAGATGGACTAAGCGACGTCGAGGCGGCCGCCCGCCTGGCTCGGGACGGCCCCAATGCCATCAAGGGAGCAAAGGGCATGTCCCTCTGGGAGATTTTCCTCCAGCAGGTCGCCAATGCGCTGACGGCCGTGCTCATTGCCGTCATGGCCCTGTCCTTTGCCATTCACGACTTTGTCGAAGGCGGCGTGGTCCTGGCTGTCATTCTACTCAATATCATCGTGGGGTATGTTGCAAACAGGATGCTGACGCAGAAACGACCTGCTCTAGAGATCTTTCCTTTCTTCCTGTCCTCCTCCTTTCTTCTTCTTATTCTTCTTCTTCTTTATCTCTGTCTTCATGCATTGCTTACCATATACATGAAACTACCTGCAGATTGATCCAGGACTACCGCGCTGAGCAGACGATCCAGTCGCTATATGCCTTGTCCACGCCGAAATGCAAAGTCATTCGCAATGGGATCAACACCACCGTCAAGGCAGAAACCCTGGTCAAGGGCGACCTCGTCTGGCTCTCCACCGGCGATGTTGTTCCCGCCGACTTGCGTCTGGTGCAAGCCATCAACCTGTCCACGGACGAATCCCACCTCACGGGCGAGTCCGTGGCCATCAGCAAGAAGCCAGACGCCATCTTCAACGACGCCGAGCTCCCCATGGGCGACCGCACAAACCTGGTCTACACCGGAAGCTCGGTGACTCGCGGCCGGGGAACCGGCATCGTGATATCGACCGGCATGGACACCGAGGTGGGCCAGATTGCCCAGCTGCTGCGTCAAAAGAAGAGGCAGAACACTGGCTCTGGACCCGTCAGCAGGTTCTTCATCAACTGCTACCAGACGACGAGGAGCATCCTCGGCCTCGAGGGGACGCCCCTGCAGGTCACGCTCAGCAAGTTCGCTCTGCTGCTCTTTGGCCTGGCCATCCTCCTGGCCGTCATTGTCTTCTCGGTCAACAAGTGGGACATGGACGACAATGTCCTGCTGTACGGCATCTGCGTGGGCGTTGCCGTTATCCCGGAATCCCTCCTTGCCGTGCTTACCGTCACTATGGCTGTCGCTACCAAGGCAATGGTCAAGGGCCATGTCATTGTCCGTCAGATGCCGTCCCTCGAGGCGGTCGGCGGAGTAACCAACATTTGCTCCGACAAGACAGGCACCCTCACCCAGGGACGCATGATTGCGCGCAAGGTCTGGCTGCGCGGCGGCCTCGTGGGCCTCATCGAGGGCACTGCCGACCCGTACGATCCCAGCAGCGGCACCGTGACGTGGTCCGGGTCGCTCGCGGGCACCTGCTTCAACGCCTTCCTCGACACGCTGTATCTGTGCAACAACGCCACCGTCTCGGACGGTAAGAAGGAGCTCGAGACGGACTCGAGCAGCGTCACGACGACGGCCCTGGGGTCGGACGAGTGGAAGGCCGTGGGGGAGCCGACGGAGATAGCTCTCAAAGTGTTTGCCCTGCGCTTTGGAAAGAATAAGTCTGCCAGCGATGAACTCATCGCGGAACATCCCTTTGACTCGTCGTGCAAGCTCATGAGTGTCGTCTATGGTGGCGGCCTTGATGCCACGTGCCAAGTGTATACCAAGGGTGCCGTCGAGGTAGTCTTGCCAAAGCTGGACGAGTCCGAGGAGCTGAAGCACAAGATCCACGCTCAGGCGGAGGAGCTCGCTGCCGAGGGCCTCCGAGTGCTGTGCATTGCCAGCCGGACCCTGGACCGCGAAAAGGAGGACGCCCACGACCGCTCCCAGGTGGAAGCCGGCCTCCATTTCCTGGGCCTCGCCGGTCTCTACGACCCTCCGCGGCCCGAGACGGCCGGCGCGGTGGCACAGTGTCGCCAGGCCGGCATCGCCGTGCACATGGTGACTGGCGATCACATCAAGACGGCGACTGCGATTGCGTACGAG